TTGTGTACACTCTGACCGCTGCTTGTCTGAAGGTAAGAAGTTCACTAAATATCTGCCAGAGCTTTTGAGTCAAACAAAAATGGGTTCAGCTCCATGTTCTACAATCTTTAGCCTTGTGTGGCCTTGGCTGAGTCACTTAACTTCTCTGGGCATCAGTTTCCTCATCTGTGAAATGGGACAACAACTACCTCTTTCACAGGGTTGTAGTTAAAATGAAATGAATTGATATAGGCAACATCAGCCTGTGTCCCCCGGGCTCAGGGTTTACTTAGTTTCCTGTATGACAGTTTAAAGAAGCGTATCACTCTGCTTGCCATGACAAGCATCCAGGAGGAAAATGTCAGTAGGAAACTGCCTTATGCCCTAGTTTACTACTTTTCCCTCTTTCCACACATTGAGCATCCTACAGGGATGGACGGCTTTGAGGACAACCTAAGTGTCTGACATTTTAAGTGTCTTCGAGATTCTCAGTATGTACAGTGAAGAGTGACAGTTCGTTTTCTTCCAGTTTTCAGTTTCTTATTAGTGGCATGAAAGTAAGAGGGAATTTCTCTCTACTTAGCACACATCATGATAGCTTTGGTGTATGCACAAAAATATGCAATTTTGGGTTATTGCTTTTCATTTCAGCACAAACCAAAACTATTTTCTACTTTTTCCAGTGAAGAGAACTATGGTTATTAGTTTCAATGTATGCTTTAGCTACTATGAAACAGGCAGGAGAAGATCTCAGAATGATCCTCACTTCTTCCCTAGTCAGCTTGGCAGAGTCTCTGGGAGGTGGGCTGACCATTTGTGTCCCCCGCAAAATTAATCTGTTGAAGCCTATTCCCAAAGTGCCGGTATGAGGAGGTGGGGCCTTTGGGAGGAGATGAGGTTGTGAGGGTGGGGCCCTCCTGATGGGATTAGTGCCCTGAGAAGAAGAGACTAGAGAGAGCTTGCTTCCTCTCTCTCTGCTCTCCTCCAGGAGAAGACACAGGGAGAAGACAGCGGTCAACAAACCAGGAACAGGCTCCCACCAGGTGTGCCGGTGCCTTGATCTCCGATGTCCCAGCCTCCAGAACTGTGAGAAATAAGTGTTTGTTGTTTGTGACCCAGTCTACGGTAGTTTGTTATAGGCGCCTGAGTAGATGAAGACGCCTCTAACATTCCCAGAGGCTCTCCGTGCTCACCTAGCACCAGAATCGCTGTTTGCGCACATGCCTTCCCCAGACTGCCAACCCCGGAGGGCAGTCATTAGCAAGTACCTGGCACTTGCAACAGGGAGTAAAGAAAACACCTGCAAGATGACCTACTAGCTAAATAAAATCCCAATCAGCTGAGCCAGGGAGCTCCTAATTCAGGAAGGGATAGAGGCATCAACCTGAGTTAGTGACTGTGGATGGGACTTGTTTATTTTTCAGAGCTTTCTTGGCCAGCTCCGTTTGCTAATACACTGGGAGAAGGAGTGTAGGAATCCCATGATGGGTCACACGGAGCCTGGAATCTGGCTCAGGAGTTGGAGGGAACAGAATAATGGAGAAACGCTGGTGCTAGCCGCAGTGGGGTCTCTATGGGGTGAACTCAGCAAGAACCAGATGGAACAGGAGGTAGTGATGACAAACTAGAAACTTCCCTCAGCCCACAACCCCGGCCTGTCATCAAATTTGTTTGGATATAATAAACAAATAAAATAAAATAAAATAAAAAATTCATTTTCAATATTTTTAAAATAATAATTTTAAGTAAAATAAGTAAATAATTTAAAAGACAGCAATAATAAAAGTGCTTAAAAAAGTTTAATAAGCACCAAGACTCATACCTTGAAAAAGAATAAATTTCCCTGTTCCCTTGTGCTTCTCTGCTCCTCTATCTTTTTCTGGAACCACAAGTTATTTCCTTCCAAAGTGTTGCTGGCAATGGATGTCAATCTATTTGAAATTGTGAATAAAAGCTAAAGGTATGGCTTATTATGCAATAATATAATCAAAGCATGGGTTCAAATGAAAGTTTTCATCTTTGTACTTTGGTTTTGACTTGAGTTCTTAGTCAAACTTGTTTGAAAAAGATCAAAACTATTTACATAATCACTAAGACCAAAGACAATCCTAATCCTTGATTAGGGCAGGAAGGATGGGCTTCCTCGACAATAGGGACTGCAAAGCCCCTCAGAGGTTGAGCAAGTAGATGAGGCTCTGGAATGCAGCAGAGGAAATGAGGCAATAGGGAGTGGTGTGGATTGTGGTAAACTGGGGAGAACATGCCAAGACTAATGGAGCTGCTGCTTCTATGCTCCAGTTGATGACAGCTATCATCAGGAAAGAAGATCAGGTAGACACTCTACCAATTTTCAGGAGAAGTTAGAAATGATAATTTTTTAGTGAAATGTTCTTTTTCTTAAAAAAATGCTCTACTAGTCAAGAAAAACATACCTGTAACTACAAGTTAGCTATCATGACTTGAAGTCTAAATGCCATGGCAAGGAACAAACGGGGCTGCAACTGTGGGGCTTGGAAGAGAGTGAGGTCCTGATGTAAAACGAAGGGCCACTGAGGCGGGCCAGCTCCTCATTTCTACTGACCTCTGGATTCCATCAGAGAACATCTGCTTATCAGGCAGATGCTCATGGAATGATGAGAGTGGGGTTAGGATGCAAGCCCACTCTCAACGTAATGTTTCATTTCTTGACAAATGCCTGCTTCTTTAAAAACAACCATCAGTTGTTACACGTAATGCAACCAAGGATTTAGTCATGTTGTCTTTAAGCTTTAAAATTAGAACGCACTGTTTCATTAAAAAAACGAAGCGAAACAAAAGCAGGCCTAAAAGCACTGCTCTTACAGGGTGTCCACAGGCTCCTGTGCATGTATTTTCCCAGGGGATAAGCATGCCGCCACTGCATATAGAAAATGCAGAGGTAATTACAAATAAAAGCTCAATTACCGAAAGGCTATTATTCAGATAACTTCACCTCTTTTTGGACTTCAGAAAAACATCTTCTTCTTTGAGAAACCCTACGAATTTTGCTAATTGAATGTCTTTTGTTGCCAAACTAAATATTTAAACAACAAATAGACTCTTTGTTCATAACTAGAGAAACAAAGTCTTAAACTCATTTCAGGTAGGTTACAAAAGGCAAAAAGTGACATTTATTTCTTATAAAAATAACTAATATTCACATTAAAATTTATCAACATGTTATTTTCCTCTCCCCACCTTCGTCAGGGCTGGGATGAGGGCGAGGAGAGTCAGCACTCATCTCAGGTGTAAGTAAGAGGGCACCAGAAAGCTTGCCAATGCCATGTTTTCAAAAATCAAGATTAACACAGAAAAATCCAGAATGAACTAAATACTGAAATCTTAAATGAAGATAGGGCTGTGAACCAAATTGTGTCTCCCCAAAATCTGTATCTTGAAGCCCTGACCCCCTCCTCACCAAGATTTCTCTCTCTGCCTTGTGAGGACCCAGCAAGCAGGGGCTTATCATCAAGGCAGGAAGAGCGGTCTTCCCAGGAACTGGACCTTGAAGGACCTTGAGTGGGACTTGAGCCTCCAGGGCTGTGAGAAAATAAATGCCCATTGTTGAATCCAGCCAGCCTGTGGAGTTTCGTTACCGCAGCTGAGCTGACTAAGACAGACAGGTTCTGACAGGGCTATGCTGAGCATTTCAGAGCCTGGGGCAAAAGGAAAGATGTCCCTTCCTATATACATGATTTTATGTTATTTTTTTAATGGTTAATTTTTTCCAGAACATTAAAGGTGTTGAAAAAGTATAAGTTTGCTTCCATTAAAGCCAGGAAAGTAAAATTATAATTAGTTCTATTTTTGGTATAAATAAGATATTTAAAATTAAAACAGTGTTGTACACTTTAATACCTCCATTTTTTATTTTCCAACACTTTTTCAACACTTTAACATTCTGGCAATAAAAACCCAACCATTAAAAATACACACCGCCACATATCTAGGGGTGCACATTTTTCCTTTTGCCTCAGGTGCCAAGATGGCTTGGAGGGTGCTGCTCAGAATCCAAGATAAGACCCTTCTGAGGTTTCTTTCATTGCTAGTTGCTTTTACTTTTCCTTATTATTAAAGTAATGCATACCCATTAAAAAGTAATAATCTGAAAGCAGACACCGGCAGAGAAGAGCGAACGAAATACATATTACCTTATTTACTTGGAAAAATGCTCATGTTAATTTTGAGTCAGATGTTGCACGTCCTGGTCTCTGCCCGAATGTTAAGAGGGATAAGAGGACCCCCTCCTGATGTTCCTGGAGGACGGAGTTCTGTTTTAGCATACTGCTGTCCCTCTGTCCTTCTCTTGCTCCAGCCAGTGGGAGGTGGGAGTGGGAGAGGAAGCCAAGCATATGGGGCTCAGCCCTCCCTCTCTGGGGGAGTCTGCCAGCCTCCAGCAAGCTGTGCTCTGGTAAGTTCTGTGCCTCTGTGCTGCACCCACCTCTGCCCTGCAGCAAACCTGTGCTGGTGCCTGTCAGGGAGCCCACTCTTCTGAGGGGAAAGAAAGTCTCGTTTATGGATCCACGAGTTACACAAGCATATTTACACACACACACACTGAAACAAACCACAACATAACAGAAAATCCCCTCAAAAACTCTAGTTGACTGCAGATACTCAATTTTGCCCAAATCACCTTTCAACCATACGTCTGTGTGGTCAGCTTGTTTTTTTGACAACACTTTGTTTTTAATTGAAAGATCAGGAGCCATCCATTCACGTCATCTTTAAATAAACAGCTCAAATCTTCTACTTTCTTGTATATTTATCTGATATCAAGCAGCTACCACACTGGTTGGTTGTTTCTTCCCCTGTCCACCGAAAAAGTTCTGTGAACAGACCCTCAGAAGCCTCCAGAATTCTCATGAGACCTTAAACACTGATGTTTAGGTTGTGCACACAGTACAGTATATGGGTCACTGCACGGCTGTTTTGGCTCCAGGGATGACCCGTGGGCAGAGCCGAGGCTCCCGTGAACCCCCCTGTGGCTGACGCATCTGTACCTGGGCGTGCTCCTGGCTGGGCACGGCGCTCAGCCCCGTCGCAGCCATGTATGTGCTGCCGATGGTCTTGATCTTTTCAACTCCACTGAACTTTGGCTTGGACAGCAGCTGCGAAGCAATGACAATCATTTGATTTCTCACTCAGGTGCTGACCCAAGACTAAGCATTTTCAAAGTCTAATTCACAGTAATGGGAACGCGACTTGTTTCAAACACTGCTTATTCACCCTTCAACCTTGGGCTTTGATGGGAAAGAACATTTTATGCATTTCACAAAGAGCACGTCCTTGGAAGGAAATGCAGTGTAATGATTTCCTTCCAATTAACATGAATTACCTCTCAAATTTTACTAGTGAAAGAACCAGGATAAGTTATGATGCAAGTGATAATGGCCTCCAATACATTTCTCAAGTCCATATTTCAAAGGCCTAAATACACAGTACGATTCAGTGAGTGAGGTCTTCCCTGCACAGTGAGGGTGATTTATGACCACTGAGTGCTGAGGATCAGCTTTCGTCCTCTGAGCACTTGATGCGGAAGGAATAAAGATCTAGAGCTGCTCCTCCTCATCAGCCTTTACCCGAAACTTCTTGTCCCAGTTTCTGGCACCAGTTACCACTTTCGTACTTGACTCCTCCCCATCCACTTCTTTAGGCTTTGGGGTGGGATGGAGGAAAGGCAAAAATAAGAGCAGAAGCTGTAGGAATGAGAAAGAATGGGTGGAGAGAGCAAGTGAAGGAAATTCTGGAAGGTTCCGTATCTGCTCAGGACAATGGCACCGACCAAAGACTGGGAGCATCTTCTTGACCCTTCCTTGGTACTCCCACATTCAGAGAAGTTTCTTTCAAGATTACATGTCAGAGAATTTAAGACAGTTGAGCATATTCCCATATCACATATCCATGAACCAATCCTACCAGAAGGAGGATTGTCACTCACCCACTGGTGCTGGGGAACATTTATTTTATTGAGACGCAGCTGGAGCAAATATGCCACTGCTTTTTACTATAAATGCAGCCTAACAGTGGAAATCTCTGGTTGTCATCACTTCACCACGAATCTTGAGTCAACCTCATGGTGATGATGGTGGTAGCAGAGAAATGCACAGGTCCCACAAGATACTTAGAAGGTTGGCCTGAATCCATCTTATTATATACTTTCATCACTGTATTTCAAAGTTCCATGAATCATAATGAACCTATGTTCATGGGTGTCGATTTTTCTGTATTTTGATCAATATTGATTAGAATGATGTAGCAGCAATATGCTTAATACCAGAGGTGTGTTCGTTCTTACCACAAAACAAAACACATACTCTCTCTGTAGGCAGAAAATTGAAAATTGAAAAATGACACCTATTTCAAATTGTAAAACATAAACTTTGTCCCTTCTAAAATACATTATCCCACACACATATTGCTTTTTCAATAATAAAGCACGTCATCCATGCACAGTTCAGGTTAATATCTGACAGAGACCTTGGAGTATGCACAGACAGACATGCCAATAATCTACTATGATAAATATATTCATTATCTTTTTTATATATAAAGGGATGGACAAGTGTTTTCCCTGGAGTTCAAGCCTGTCTAGAAAATATAATGGCATACTGGATAGATTTTTATTGAACCGATTTTGGTTGTTGTTCCTAGCAGTCATAACTGCTTCAAAAATAAAATGCTTTTGTCTCCCCCAAATTAGTCAGAGACCTAAATAGAGCAAAAAGCTTTAGTGCCAGCCACTAGAAATTATGCCAAAGGACTAGTGTTAAGATATGCCATGATACTGAACTAATTTCCAATGTGCCAGCCCCAGGCATGCCAAAGTGTGGGACTGAGGCTGCCCCTGCCCGTCAAGGGTGAGTCTCGAGTACCTACATCATCAAAGTCAGCGATGATCTCGTTCAGGAGCCGAAGGCATTCCAGGCCCTCCTTGTTCACATCTGATTCCGTATAGAATTCTTTGAAATCCGGGATGGAGGCAAACATGACGCAGACACAGTCATAGGACTGGTGGTATAAGTCCTGCCCAGGAGGAAAGGGAGAGCTGAGCGTTAGGAAACCATTTAATAAACAAGCTCCTGATGCAAGTGTTTCTTGACATTGACCTTGGTAAAGAAATTGCCCAGTGCCCCACTCCACCTGCCGCACCCTAGTCCCAGGCCCATGCCAGGTGCTGGCCATTGGTCATAGGTGACAGCTGCTAACGAGCCGGATGCAGGCTCGGAATCCTCAACCCTGTGCTTCTGCTGCCACTACCAGCTAGTATGAGATGCCCTTCCATGTAAACCTTTCTGTCATCTCTACCTTAGACAACTGCAAGAGACGCAGACTTCTGGCTTAGGAAAAAAGCATCCTTAAGCAACTGAAGGGAAACAAAATGATTTCCCAAACTACTATATTGTCCTAAAATGACTCATTATGGTTACATTCTTTGGATTTGTGTCTTTATGCATTTTCTCTTAATGTCTTTATGCACTTTCTCTTTAATGTCTCCTAAAAGAAGCAGATGAAACTCATCAAGTTACTTCTTAATGGCACCAGAAAGAACCAGTGAAACTCCTCAGGCTACCTACTCATATTGTATCTGACACCAACAACATTTATTCAGGATAGCTTTTTATTTTTAGATAGAAAAAGGCTCATTGTTCTTCATCCAAAGACATGAGTAAAATTCCAGTGTCTCGTAAATACAATTTCAAGGTGTTTCCATAATTTTCCCAACATATAGTGAAACCTTTAGGTTCAGTGAAGGTTCTAGAAAGGAAAGCTGTTATGTGGGCATGGAGGCTCCTCCTGAGTGTGAGGACCTGCCTTCCCACTGACGCTGGCCCATCAGGAACTTCAGAAGAACCTGATACAGGGCAGAATAGCTGGGTACCATCGTGGGTGCAGTGCATCATGGGAAATGCTCCCTCCACCAGGAAACCTGAGGACAGTTCCCTTAAATAAGAGGGCCAACCTCTGAGTGTCGGGGAGAATGCTGGTGACTGGTGCTTCTTGCGTGCCTGGCAGGGTGAGGGAATCCACTCTGCATGAATGTTATCAGTGAGCTTTGCTCTCTGGGGCACCCAGATGAATTCTTGGCAGAGAGTGAGTCCTTCAACAGCACCATGACTCCAAGGTTTGGTGGGCTCCCAGAAGAATGGTTCTTACTCCACTGAGGTCTCATAACAAGCACATCGGGGCAATGGCGACCCATGGAAGGTCACAACCATCTCCTGGAAAAGCTAAACTTGTGTCATCTTCCTGTTCTCAGGGCCAGCCACCCTGTTATGTCTTCTGCTACTGCCTCACAATCTGCACACAACACATGAACCATAGCATCAAAGTTTTCCTTTTCTGCTCTGCTCTCAACGTGGTTGAGCTGGCTCACTGTGCAGACCCGTCCTTCCTCTCTCTGAAAAGTTGTTGCTGTGAACATTCATATCCTGGGAAGACATGCTGTGGCACATGTGACTGCCAAGTTTAGGCTCTGGTAATGCTGACTAAGCCAGGAAGTCAGGGTAACAGGGGAGAGATGACCCCAGGAGCCTGTTCTAGTTAGAAATGCCAGTTTTATAAAAGTAGTGTCAGCTCTACTGACTTCCTTCCTCTTAAGGAAAAGGGGTACATCTATCAAGTCAAGGACTTGTGTTCTGTACTCTGCATTTCCCCGCTGTCTGCTGACACCATCCAGAGCGAACCTCTGGGGAAGACGATGACGACAAGAACAAGCATGATAACCACCGGCACTGACTGAGTGCCCACTGCATGACAGGATGGGTGCCTCTCTGAACACTCTGCAGGCATTAACTTGCCTCTAATTACAATCCAATGAGGCTGGTACTATTATTCTCAATCTATGGATGGGGAAACTGAGGCACAGAGCAATTACATTCTTTGCCGAAGGTTGTAGTTCGCAAATCGGAGGCAGACATCACTCTTACAAATGCTACACTTTATACTTGATCCTGCATCTCCCCCATGACCATGGGCAGTGCTGCCTGGATTCGGGGGCAGCACGGGGCCTCCCAACACTTGTGAGTCATGTCACTTTACCTTTCTCCTTTCCCCTGGGGTCTTTAAGGGTGTCCGGGAATGGGAGATAATGAAATGCAAGCCTGAACGGACTGGCTGCTTGGACAGAAGGGCCTAGTTTAACCTCACCGGTGGGGTCTAATCAAACTACTCCAGGTTAACGCTCTCAAACTGCCCTCCGAAGCCTCATCCCCGAGCACCCCATGTTGCTGGAGCTGGATGGGGTCAGATGTGTCATCTCCTTCCACGGTGCTCAAATAGGAATGCGTGGGACAGTCACCAAAGGGGCTTTCAAGAAGGCAGATGCCTGGGCCTCCCCACTGACCACCTGAACCTTCTTCCCGAGGGTGGCTCCAAGCACGTACATCTTTCTGAAAAGCTCCATGGTTCTTCTGCTGTGTAGCCTTGATTAAGAACCATGGGCTAAAAAGAGGGAATGGAAGGTCATGGGAATTGGCTGACCCACCAAGGCTCCCAGCTGGCTTAGGGACCAGGACTAATCTCTGGAGTACTGGTCTGGCACCCTGCAGGCTGTGAGTGCTGCTGGGGGCTTGGGCATGCAAACTGCTCATCTGCCTGCATTTTTTTTTTTTTTTTTTTGAGGAAGATTAGCCCTGAGCTAACTACTGCCAATCCTCCTCTTTTTGCTGAGGAAGACTGGCCCTGAGCTAACATCCATGCCCATCTTCTTCTACTTTATACGTGGGATGCCTACCACAGCATGGCAAGTGGCACCATGTCTGCACCCGGGATCCGAACCGGTGAACCCTGGGCCGCCGAGAAGCAGAACGTGTGAACTTAACCACTGTGCCACCGGACCGGCCTCTCATCTGCCTTCTTTGACAGATTGGTCACCTGGAACCTTCACGGAAACAACACTGGCCCCTTGCTCCCTGATTCAAGGTTCCCACAGGACTATACTTGAGAATCAGGGGAACTTCACAATGGGAAGCTTCACAAATTCTCCAGAGCTAATGAAACTGTCAGGGCTTACAATCATACTGTAAACTCATGAGAGGTTACCTCAGGTCTTGGGTTTGGCTTGGGGTCAGAGAGGACCACAAGCTGATGGGTCAATGACCTGAGCTTGTCTTATACTTCAAGAGGTTGTGGGCATGAGGGTAGGGCAGGTGGGCAGCCTTTGAGGAGATTCTGGAATTCAGGGTCTAGAATGGGTGACCCTTGTCCACCTCTTAGCTGTCAAAAAGCATCACTGAGCTTTAGAATTGGAAGTGAGCATAGATGGCATTGCAACATTCACTCACATGTAACCATTCTGCCGACCAACTCAAGTAATGGAAGAAAAATCAAGAAGCAAGTGTATTTCTGTGTCACTGTCCCTTTCAGTTTAGTGAGATCAGCTCTTCCTCAACCCTGGACAGAAACTTAGAACAACACCCCACGACTCTTCCTGTCACTCTTGGGTAATTCAAGTCCTCTCATGAAGAATTTAAGTGCCTAGTTCAACGGGCAGTCAAAACTCTGAACCTGGTTGGATGCGAGACTTCCCTTCCTCAGGGTGGGCCTGCTGCAGGAGCGGGGTCTACACGTGGGGAAGGGGGAAGGTTGGCTTCTACTCTCTCTCACTATTCCTCATCCTTCTACTTCAACGCCTCCAACTTGCTAGCCAGGTTTTCCAAACCAACCAAGGGTGGAGAATGGGAAAGAAAGACGTGTCTGTTGGAGGAGGAAAGTTTGCATCATGCTCCCTGGGCACTAAAACCTGCTGGACATTTTCCTGGGTTATTTGAAGACTCCCATTGCTGTCCCCATTACTGGACATCCTGCCTGAGGTTTCCTTGAAGTGGACGATGCACTCCCCTCCTGCTCGTGACTGCTCTCTCTGCCCCGGGCTTTCTGGACTTTCTTCTGGCTTCTCTGCTGGGGCCCACTCACCCCTCTGGGCAGATCTTTCAAACAGGATCTAAAATGATCCCAAGCCAACTGTCTTTCTCTTGCTTTGTCCCTGAGCAACACTCAGGACACTTTGTCCTCCACACCCTGATAGTCCCATTGTACCCACATCTGCAGCTCCAAGTCTGTTAGCCCAGATACTCAACCAGCCCCTGCCCTGGGCATTTCCCACCTGTCAGGACCCGCCTGTCAGCCGTGTCCTCCAGATGGAGGTGCTTCCTCAGGACCACTCAGAGACCCAAGTCACTGGGTACACATCCCAAACTGAGTAGTTCCCGTCTGTTCATGAGGCTAGTGGTAAAAGGAGGATTCCCCACTGACCCTTTAGGAGGGGGTTCACTTCTCACTACATTCTGTCCAAAATCCCTCTTCCAACCTCTAGTCTCCTGGCTGATTCATATGTTCCCCACGAGTGAAGGGTCGAGAGTCGTGTTACTAGTTTTAAAGTGGGGTATTTGTAAACATGCAACCCTCCCTTTGGAAGATGGGAACTACTGTCTGTTGGTGTTACAGGCTGAAATTCACTTTAGCATCCTGGTACACACACACACACACATCTCTTGGCTTCATACCAGGTGGTAGGGCCACAGAGACGGACAACACAAGCCCTGCCCTCAAGGAGCTCGAGTCCAACTGGAGAGAGAAAACAAATAAAGAGACCATGGAAACAAGTGTGGTTAGTGCTGCCTAACATCCAGGTGTGGGTATACCAGGTGTCTGCTTGGTTTGTCCTAGAAATGTTCAGAACTGCTACTGGTGCTCAGGTTTCCCAGCTTCCACGTCAGTGCTCTCTCTGACGGACTCACCCTGCAGCAAGGAGGGGACCCTTCCTTCACCTTACCCCCTGCTGACCTATGTGCTAACCGTTCAGCACCTCGTGCCCCCAAATGTCAGCCAATGCCTAATTTATTTAGGGAGTCAAATAATTAGAAAGCACAAAAGCATCCCTTGAAACCCCAGTGGCATTCTCGCCTGAGTATACGGGGTTGAAGGATGTGCTGGCGGCCACTGGGGGGCTCACAGTTCACTTAGAAGGGATGTACTGCTGGAGCGCCTGGTGAACTCCTCGCACAGCTGCAGTGACATCTGTG